CAACATGGATGACACTTCCTGTTTAAAAAGTAAAACATGTGGAATGTCAACACATGTCCTAACTTATAACAGACAAATAATAAAGGGGTTTTACGTAAGTAACAACTGAAAACAAATGATAAATAGAATAATCTGACTGAAATATCAGCAAATACTTGTAAAATATTATTTACGAAACGATGGCTATGAAATAAAAATCTAAACCACTACACTCGCATACGATCAACAAGCTTATCTTTTAAAAAGATTGGTGAGCTAGCGCTGTAGCATAATAAAATACAGAAGAAGATATCTGAACCATTTGTTAAATTTGCTGAATCGATTAATTATTAATAGGAAGGCAGATTGGTGCACTGAGGTGTTGAGTTTGGGGGGGGGGGGGGGTGTCACAATTCAGAATGGTGAATCTAAGAGTATGCTTCACGTCGGCAATGGCATAACTCCTAATTGTGCTTTAAGCATTTTGTATTTTACTGTAATTTCAATTTTGATGTGAAAAATAAAAGGTGAGTAGAACCAATGAGCACCTTCGGGCCTTTCCGGCAAGCTCGGAAAACATATCCGAGGTTGCCACGGTTTTCCGAGCTTGCCGGAAAGATCCATGAAGGTAGATTAGAAAAGCTATGTATTCACTATAACTTTTGTATTAACAGTCTTGGTTTTATAAGACCCGAGTTACTGTTACTTTTTGTTCATTTACGTGCAGGTTAGACAACAAAGCACGAAACTTCAGATCATATGTATTTTCAGATGATAAACACTAAATTGACAGGTCTTACAGACATACTCTGAAAAAGATTTTTGTTGTTGTTTTTTCCGAGCTTGCCGGAATTATCCACTAAGGTGGTAAAACTGTAAGGAAAGCTAGATGTCTAGAATCTTGGCATTATATGGCCAAATTTTTTCTTGTACTTTTATGTGTAGGTTAGACAATAAATTTAAAAAAAAATCCGAATCCGGATCTAGACTGGTATTGACTGTCTCTAACCTACGAAATGTATATCGCGCATATCAGACAGGGAAGGCCAGTGTAAATTCGGATCTTTTCTATTTTTGTATGACAAAACGAAATTGTTATCGTACAGTCTATCTACAGTAGTTTTCCCAGAATCCCCGACCGTGAAGTCGAGCATGCGTATTTCAGAAATATAGACTAACGTAGTTGCTAGCGCTCGAGAGCGCTAGCAATAAGCATATTATGCGAGATTGGCCGTGGGTTTCCGACGATGAGGCACTTACTTCAGTAACAAATATTTTACCCATAATAAAATAGTGTTATTAATTACATGTATACTAGAGGGTTCAATTAAAACAATTAAGTGCCTGTGCTATGGCTGTTATTTTCATGATTTTTTTTTTGGGAGGGGGGGATGGTATCATCTGTCTTTAATGCTATAATAAATATCACTCAAAATAGAATAAAATAAATGAAAGGAGGGCATCAAACCTGGGACATACTAATTTTCTATTATATAGGTCCCTGGTAAAACGTTTCTCAAAACACAGGCCTCTGAATTTCTATCAGTAAGCCGTTATATGATTGATCAGAGTGATATATATATACCCCCTCTATATATAAATACACAAAAATAAATACAGTGTATTTATATAGAGGGGGTATATATATGGAACATGTACATCTGATTTTCATTGCTACGCCTCCCCACTAGGTTATACTGATCGAAGTTAGAAAATCTTGTAGTGAAAAATGGAAAACCTCAAAAAAATGATTATTACTTGATAAAGATTCCTTTGAGTTAATGATTTTTTCTCCTACGGTATCATTCCTTTCCAAAGCATTGGGTCACGGAGCTGAGACATCGACTTTTACCCACTCCACTTTGGAACTCTTCAGCACCTGAAGATAAAAATAAGCGCCAACCAAAAAGAAAACTGCACAGAATTCGGAGTAAGACTGTAAGTCTACGATAATGTAAACATTGTAATTTCTTTCTTATGCTGGCATTTGTTGCTCATATAATTAAGATAGGGGAAAGGTATACCAGTTGTTCAATGTCGTTGGATTTTTTTAATCTTCAAAATATACTTCAAAATTGCACACAAAAAAAACTTCTTAGCTTCACATGTATCCACGATGTTTGGTACCTCAGCAAGTCCCTAACTAGAAAAAGATCAAGCCTAGTCCTTTTTCACACCTATATTTATAGTTTAAACATATTTTATTAAAAAAAAATCAATAAAGACTGGGAAACAGGCGAAGCCTATATACCGTAGAACTACATGTATCTGTGTATATCTGTATAATAGGTCTAGATAACAGAGTGGTCAACAGAGTGATTCTGTACTTGTACATGGTAATGAACAGTGGCGGATTTAAGGGGGGGGGGGGCGCACACGGGGTGCGCCCCCCTAAAATTGTCAAAGCGTAAATCATAGTTTCGTTCAGAAAATGTAAAAATTTCTACTTGGTAGACCTCATTTTTACCCTACAAAATCTCTAGAATCCAGGACCCCCACCAGTGCTTTGCCCTGGACTCACTGGGGGCCTCATGGCGGCCCCCAGACCCCCTGCCTACTTTTTGCGCCCCCCTCTAACTTCAAATCCTGGATCGGCGCCTGATGAAGTACCCTCGAGTGCCCAGTAGTCGGTCTCTGAAAAGAGTATCTGTGCTGAGCACAATTTAAATGAAAACTGTGCTAATTTCAACTGATGTTTTAACTTACCCTGTTATTGTCTACTTTTCTTGTTATTCAAAATATTTTAAAGCGCTTTATTAAATTTTTTATCAAGGCACAAAGCAAGTGAGGTTTACACCGGCCATATTTGTTTTGGATCAGTAGTCGTGCACTACGATGTAGCAGCAAATATGGGGCCAAGAAAAATAAAAACAATATTAAAACAAATTCCTGTTTACTAAGATTCTATTATTCAATCATTTCGGAATTTATTTGATTTTCTCATGTTTGTGATTGGTTTTTCTAAAATAAGTCATAATTCTTTTTTCATTCCTTCTATACATGTATTCCAATGTAATTATTATGACTTACAGTATAATTACTATACAGTTTTTATCAGGTCATCTTTTATAATGTTTGACCAAAGTAAACAATTGAAATACCAAATGATCATCACATATGACTAATTAGCCATGTGTTCGTCATGTTCATAGGTGCTCTTCTGTCCGGTTAAAGTATATATTTAGAAGCTGTAAAAAGAGTATTAACAAAATGACAGTTTTATTGATGCCTACAGTGCTCCAAGTTGCAACTAAAAAGGTCGCATTTGTGGCCAAAAAATTAATTTTGCGACTGGAAATTAAAACTAATCGCATTTTTGCAACTGAGAAAATTTGGGCTGGCGATTGTCAATTTTTATGATCGGGATCGAGATTACTTTTTTCCCAAGATTCTCTATCAAGAAAATGTTTGAAGACATTCCTAAAACTTTGTTAAGCATCGCAAAGACTGAGATTACGTAATGATATGCCAGCATGCTGTACAGTCAACAGAACGGCTGTCAAAATGTCGTATTCTTTTTAAAACCCGATCTTGTTAATGGAGCATTTGGCCAAAATTCCTTGAATATCATCGTGTTTTGGCGATATGGACAACAACTGTTTAATATGTTAGGTTCATTAAATAAACATAACGAACAGCTGACGAAGTCAGATCTCAATAGTTCAAACTTATGCACGCATCAGTCAAACTTGCTGCAATTTCATTTGAATTAATTTTAATTCTAGGATAAAACACTTGTGTTCTTCATTGTACAACCATACTATTGGTTCCGTGAACTAATATTTCATAAGTGGTTTCTTCAGCCTAGCAAATTCTTAAGTCACAGTAATAAGTAATCTTTGATAAATTAAAAAAAAAAACATGATATGTACATAAATGAGTGTTGTTCCTTGCTTTTACTATATGCTTCATGTAAATGTGTTTTCACAAAATATTTTCACCATGGTGAGTGAAATATTTGTTGATGGCGACCAGAAATCTGAAATGGCGACCAAAAAAAATTTTAGGTCGCCATTTAGCGACCTGTTAGGAAGTGTGACTATGTTTACTTCATTAATTTATAAATGTTTCCTCTGCATATTTAACTTTTTGTTATAGTGTAGGCACTTCATTCTCTTATCGTTGAAAAATCAATCATTTATGACGTAATATCATAGCACGTGACTCACGTATGACAAAAACAAAATGATGCACGACTACTGGGCACACACGACTATAGGACCCTCGACCATATACCTGGTAATTGGTGATAAAGATTCATAAATATGATTACTCATGAGTATAATGAAAAAAAGTATCACGATTATTTACCTACAATGGACCTGCTTACTGTCTGTTTGTTTGCTTTATGGATGAAATTCACTGAAAAATAATGCCCTTCCACTATATAAATAGAATATTTTTGCCTGATCAATTGACATGCAACAAATTCTTGTTTGGGACATATGAATAGATTTGTTGTTTAGACAAAAGACAGCTACATGTATGTGTATTGTTCTATTTATCATTCCTACATTCAGATAAAGTAATATGTTGATGGTTACATGTACCTGTTAGGGCAAGCGCAGATGCGTATTGTTGGAAACCTATTCAGTTTTAACATAGATCCGCCTCTCCAAACTGCACAAGACATTTGTAATGTCTGTACTGTGACATAATATGATGTCATATGTTAGTTGCATGTTTACCATAACAAAGTCTGAAAAGTGCAAATTTTAACAAAGAACATATAATCTACTATTTGTCTGCAATATCCATTAAATCAAGGTGAGTTTATTATTTGGTGAACGTTTGTTGTTACCATGAGAATGTAGTTAGCAGCTAGACGCATTTACCTTGCATTGTGGGTCTTAACGTAACTGGAAAAAATTGACTTGGATCATTGTGCACAGTCCAAATTTTCTCTTCGCCCAAGCTTTTCTCTAATAGCTTGCAGTTTTTTTCATCGCTCCCTGTGCTCATTATTAAATGAAAGAAATCAACTGTTGTTTTTATTCTTCCAAATTTTTTTGTAGATATTTGTTCATTATGTTTCATAGAGGAGGGGATGGTAAACCAAAGGGGTTTGGTTTTTCTGGTTTTTCAATTTCTAAGAAAGAAGAGCAAGCTCCTAGTCAGTCTGGTTTAGGAGGAATGCCAAGTGGTGGATCCAGCATTATGCCGGGTAGATCATTTGGGTACCACACAAACATTGGCAAGAAGAGAGCACGGAATGAAGATGAGTGAGTGAATTTTTAATATCTGGAATCATGGAAATTTTTTTTCATACTGTATTGTACTGTTTTAAATCTTTTGTGGTATCTAAGCAGAGGACAATTCATGTTCTGAATGCAGAATTCTACCATAATTGTAAAATGTTTGGTCAGTCAACAACTCAATTAACATCTGACCAATTAATTTTTTGTCTACTGGTATGTGTGTGTGTGTTTATATTTTTTCCCCCATGATTTTTGTTTTAATTTGTATTTTGCTCTGTAGTGTAGAAAATTAATTTAACAAGTAACATATATACATACATGTTTTCATTATTATGATATATCATATAGCTGTTAATTAACAGGTCAACTGTAATGAACAACAGTTGGTGATCAGTGGTGATAATATAAACCTAAAAATTGTCCAAATTTAAAGTTTTTGATATTTTTGTAATTTCAGGAAAATTGGTTATCTTATGTCACCATTCACATTATCTACATTAATGCAGGATGTTGGTTGATTTGGCACTCAACTATTAATTGTTTTAATTAGTGGAGAAAAACTTTTACATAGTTGTATGTTTGATAGGGTTTTAGGACCAGAATGGAGTTTTGTTACATCTCTATTACCATGATTACATTGAATTTCTCAATTAATACAATTTATTTTCATATAACTTTATAATTACATGTAGATAATATCACATAAACTGATATATACAGGTACTTTGAACAAGATGATGATGAAGATAATATGGCATATCAGCCTGCCCCTGGGAGTCCCGGGGAGGAGAAAAATGAAGACAGTGATGAAGAAGACCCCCTAGATGCTTTTATGGCAGATATTGAGGTAAGTTTGCAACACAACCATTGGATGCCCTCATATCTGAATACTTTGCCAATTCATGACTTAATGTAGGTCATACCATCAAGTTTGATCATGGATCAAGTTTGTCAAAGGTGAAATTTGTTCATGATTTTAAGTTTGATCAAAGGTGAAGTTTGATCATGGGCAAAGTGTGCAGAAATGTAGCCTTGATATGAAATGTGGGACATATTGAGACTAACTTTTGTGAAGTTCAACATAATGAATTATAAGCTAACAAATATTTCAGATATGAAAATGCAAAGTTAGCCAGATAACCTTCAGTATATGGTGTATACTTTTTTACAGACAGAAGTCAGGTCACAACAACCAAAAGAAACATCAAAGGAGAAAGTTAAAGAGAAGAAAAAAGACAAGTAATTATGCCCACATGTATTTTAGTTTAATGATAAAACTGATTGAAGTAACATTGCTTATTATTGAGATTGACTGATTTTACAGAGGAGTCCGGGATGACATTGATCAAGAGGATGACCAGGAGTCTTTTTTCCGTTATATGGAGGAGAATCCATTGGCTGGCGTTGTTTTTGATGATGATGACACAATTATAGAATATGATGCAGAGGGGAATCCCATCATCCCAGAGAAAAATAAAGTAAAGCAATTAAAGTAGATATACAGTGACACTTTCGGACAATAGGGTTAGATAAGATTTAGAACAATGTTGCTGATTACACAGGTCAAACTTAGAATAAATTTTAATTTTTTTTTCTTCCTCTGCCATAAGAAAAAAATGTAGAAATAATGTGGCTGCATTCAATATTGTACATGTAGCAGTTGCTAGACTAGATGTCTATGGATTTATTGAACTCACTGTATGATTTAATGCTTGTTATCCTGTTATCCCTACGTAGTGACTAGGCACTTCATTCAAGATCCTAGCTCTACTAAGAGCTATGTAGTCCCTACAATATTGAACACACAGGTGCTAAAAAGCCTGCAGCTACAAGTGGTGCTTGGGTTTTACTGTATACTCTTTCTTTTTAATGGACAAATAACTATAGTTTCCACTTTACCATATTTATGGGTTTTTTTTTTATTTTGTACTGATTTATGAAAAGTAATATGTTCTAATCTATCTTATAAAAAGTGCTTTATCTTTGTTACAGATTATTGATCCATTACCACCAGTTGATCACAGTGAGATAGATTATGGACCATTCGAGAAAAACTTTTATGTTGAGCATGAAGAGATTATCAAACTACAACCAAATGAAGTAGATGAACTGCGGAAAAAATTGAGCATAAGGGTAAATGTTGTTCATCAGTGCATACAGAAAGCATCTGTAATGTGCATGTAATTTATTAATAGTTTCAAAATTAACATACATTCAAGTATTTAAATTTCATGTAGCATCAATTGTACATGTACTTGTACAGTCATGTATAATTCTATTTTGCTGCATATCATGATGCATAAAATTTCAGTTTATGAAGTTTGATAGTAGACAAAATATGGAAGGAGTCTATACTTACAGCGTATGTAGAATGTAGAACTTAAATTAGAATTACAAAATGTATTGGTCATGTATAAAAATTAAGGGTGGGATACATGTATATGGTTTCATTAAAAATTTTATAAAACCTATGGTATTGTTACTTTTTATGAACAGGTATCTGGTTTTAATCCTCCCAAACCTGTGTCAAGTTTTGCTCACTTTGGTTTTGATGAAAATTTGATGAGTGCAATTAGAAAATCAGAATTCTCTAAGCCTACCCCCATTCAGGCACAGGTAAGTTTCTTTCTTTCTGTTTTTTTTAATTAGTTTTTCAAAGTCGATTCATTTGCTTCTGTGGGGCACCACATGTTGATGGAATGAAAAGGGTTGGATGTATTATGAATGGAACATGTTTATATACATTTCTAGAGTTTTGTTAGGTTATGACATGCACTTGGTCATGTGATCAAATCTTACGATACCTGAAGATTTGATCACTACCAACTGCATGTCATATCCCAAAGAAACTCAAAAGATAAAACATTATTTCTTATATTTATATTTCTGTTTTGATTTATGTCCTTATTGATTTTTCATGCTTATGTATCTCAAGAAAGTCTGATCATGTGACCAATTGCATGTCAACAAAAAAACTGAATGTCAATGCTGTAAGTTTTGTCATATAAGGAAACACATTGGCAAATGTTTTAAAATTGATATACGTGTACACCTTGTCCTTTTTGCCTTGCAGATAAGTGAAATGCTAAGGAAATTTTGCTCATCATTAATTAATGTTATATTTTAGGGTATTCCAATAGCTTTGAATGGGCGTGACATTATAGGAATAGCCAAGACTGGCAGTGGTAAAACAGCAGCCTTTCTGTGGCCATTACTGGTCCACATCATGGATCAAGTAAGTCATACAGTCATGTAACTAGACATTCTGAGAACTGCTGAAAAGAGACTCATTTTTTCAGTATGGAAGAAGAAATATATGGCATTACAAATGGTTTGTTTTGTAGCGGGAGCTAGAAGAAGGGGAGGGACCTATTGGATTAATTCTGGCACCAACCAGAGAACTGTCTCAACAGGTAAAGAAAGCATTTGTCCCTTTGTTAAACTTTCAAGACTTGCCATCATGAGATAACCATTGTTAGTTTTGTGTGCTTCAGTATGACACACCTTATAATGCCAGAAGTGGGGTGGACACTTGAATCATTGTAAACCAAATATTATTTGTGATAATTTATTTGCAATTCATCAGTTTGAAATCCATCCGCAGCTTTTAATTTTTGTGAAAGAGGAAACATTCTACATAAATACACAATAAATGGTTTGCAGCAAGAAATATTTGTTAGTGATATAAGGTCTTAAACCTCATGTATAATATTTGTAAAGAAATAAAGTCATTGTGTATAGTAATGTTGATTTTTATGATACTATATGATGAATATTAAAACAGATTGCACTATTTCCTGAATGAGCAAATAAATCTAAGTCATTTAATTTGAAATACAATTACAGTGATCTAAGTACTGTATTCATAATGCACATGTACATATCTCTTATACTAAAAATTTAATATAATTTCTGAGAATTTTACACAGAGAGATAATTTTTTATAGGCATTTTTTTCTTACTCATAATCTTTTTTCATCCCTAGATTTATCATGAAGCTAAGAAGTTTGGTAAAGTATACAACATCAATGTTGTGTGTGCCTATGGAGGTGGTAGTATGTGGGAACAGACGAAAGCTTGTCAAGACGGTGCCGAGATCATTGTGGCAACACCAGTTAGTTAATTTTAAGCACATAAAATTTAGACATGCTTGGGAATTTGCAGATTTTATTCTTTGCATTTAAATTAAAGGAAAATTGCAATTTATTTATTTTTTTTTTTTTTTTGCAATATGAAAGGGTAAACCTATTTTTAAGTATGCCCTTTTCTTCAGTTGCCCAACAGGGAGAACTAATACTATGAGGATAGTTCTGTTTTTCAGTGTGTTATGACAGAAAACTTTGTCATTAAATATTGACAATCTTGTTTTAATATGTGAAGATTTTTCAAGCAATGTCAGTCTTTCATAAACTAATTTTAGATATCTTACATGAATACTTAATGAAACCAAAATATATTTTTGAATTTTGATGGTGAAATTGTAGGGCCGACTGATTGATTTAGTAAAGAAGAAGGCCACTAACTTAGAGAGGGTGACATATCTCGTATTTGATGAGGCAGACAGAATGTTTGACATGGGATTTGGTGAGTTAGAAAAAAGCTTTCAATATTTACACTAAAATGAGCAGAAAGAATTTTGTGAGTTTCTGTCTTTTATAGGACCGCTTTGTTTTGTGTGATACGTGTTACATTTATGTTTTTCTACAGCAAATATTCTTCAACCAGTATTTCATTTGATATAAATAATTTTGTAAAAGTTGTTAAGTTGATAAGGAAAAGAATAGCCAAATTGTAGGTGTATACAAGTACATAAAGTGTTGATGTTGATAAACTGACATGTTAACTTATTAGAATAGAACAAATCTGTAATAAAAATCCAACAAATACTTTTCAATTCAATCCTGGCTGTTTGATTATACAGTAAAACTTATCTAATATGGCTGTTGTGTGTTCCAAAATTTTGCCTAATGCGATGTATACTTAAAGTCCTTTTCTGTAAATTCAATTGTCTAAAATGTTGTCAAATCTGGATTGTTGTTTAATCTGGCTAATTTCTATGGATCAAGTAATGTCTGTATAAGACAAGTTTTACTGTATCAGATTGCTTTTATTGTGTAATAAAACCTACTTGTTATTTCTTATTTTTCTTAAAAGAGCCCCAGGTGCGGTCTATAGCTAATCATGTCCGTCCAGATAGGCAAAGTAAGTCAACTTTTTTACCCAGAAAAACTTAATGTGAAACACGTAAAGTACCTGTACATATTGTAGATCATCAAAATTTTGTGACACCTCATTTTTGTCAGATATTTATAGGGTATATAGGGTATTATATACAATGTAATTTGATTATATTATAAAAAATTTTATGAATTTTAGTAACTGTTAAATAAAATATTTTATTACATTTTCAACAGTGAAATACTGTGATTTATTTATTGAATAAAAGTGATATTCTCTCACAGTGTGAAAGGATACCAAAATGATATTCTCTCACAGTGTGAAAGGATATCAAAGTAAGTAAAAAATAATATCTTGTCTGTCATAACATAGAGATAGTAACTAAGCATCTTGATAGAGCTACATATGTAAAACTGCAAATTTCTTCCCAAATATGTTGCTAAAATCCATGCTATGTAATGTTTTCAATCACACAACTGCTAAGCTATGACGTCTCAACCGCTCAACTATGACGTCAAACCTATGACACTGTGTTAAGAAAAGACAGAGGCAAAGGAAAAATCAAAGAAAATGTAATAAACAGAAAATTCAATGTTTTGTAGATGAATATGGAATTTATTTCACTCGTGAGACAGGATTTTTTTATATTCATCCACAAAACATTGAATATCCTCTATTAATAAGACAACTATGCAATTACGAGAGAATCAAAGTTTCAAATCTAGAGCATGTAGTGAATGTAAAGTGATTTATGGTATTCATGTTTAAAAATTGAAATGTTAATTTGAATTACTCTTAAAATGACTGTTGAGAGTAGACTTGTTGCTTATTTAACTTTGATGTGAATGTAACTGATGTTGACTTCTTTGAAAATATGTTAAGGACACTACATAAAAATAATTAATTTGTAAACATTGGCTGTATGTTGAAGATTTCATGTGACTATGAGAGCTACCTTAAATTTTAGCAATGTTGTTTAGTGCAACATTCAGGAAGAAAGTTGAGAAACTTGCACGAGACATTCTACTGGATCCCATCCGTGTTGTACAGGGTGAAGCAGGGGAGGTAATTCAATGTTTTATTGTAAATACATGATTCTTATCCTACTGGATCCCATCTGTGTTGTACAGGGTGAAGCAGCAGGGTTCGACACTAACTTTTTTAGGCTTTTTTAGTGCTTCTTTACTGTTACTAGTCCGTATGCAATTTTATGAGTCCGTCAATTAAAGGAAACATCAATGTTTTGTAACATTAATTTAAAAATACACTTTTCAATATATGTTTTTATACTTTTTTTAAATAAACAAAGCATTTACGTGAAGTGGTTTATTCAACATCACAGATTCGTTGAAGTCTTGCGATCAACGAGTACGATCGTATTCCCGATCTTTTTCTCTTTACATTACATCCAAAATATCTGACATCTTTCTTATATGTGTCATATAAATTATGATCGCTAAAACAATTTACTTCATATCAATCAGTCGAAAAATTAAGCACTGACTCGACATTGTCTAACTACCCACCAAGAAGCTAGAAAGCTAAAAATAAATGCGGGGTTTTCCAGTAAACGTTGTGGAGAATCGGACATTGGTAAATTATTCATATTGTTTTCCAGGAATTTTTATTGGTCCGTTCGGACTAATTAGCCACAGATTTTATTAGTCTGAATGAAAATGTGTTAGTCTGAGACTAACGGACTAACGTTAGTGTCGAACCCTGAGCAGGGGAGGTAATTTAATGTTCTGTTGTCAAGACAGTGATGATATAGAATTAAGTTATAATTAAAGACAGGTTGGCATTCTTTTTTAGGGTTTCTGTTAGGGCTATTTTTTTTTAACCATTATAATTAATACATCATATAAACATGTATATTTTTGGTCAAAAAGGATGCATTCCATTGCTACATATATGCTGTATATCTGTCAATTGAAAGTCAAAATTATTTGATTAAAAATAACTGCCAAAAACATTTTTTGTACTTACAGGGAACTGTGCAAATCAAATATCTTTCTTTGATTGGCTACATATTATGGGTATAAAGAGGTCTTTTATATTGCCAGGCTAATGAAGACATTACACAGATAGTAGAAGTCCTGCCACTCGGTCCCGCTAAGTGGACTTGGCTGATCAAAAGACTTGTAGAATTTACAACAAGTAAGTTGTCATATGATTTTCTGTTACTAGAAATGGCTGATCATGTCTAAGGTTTGAGGATATTTTGAAATACATATAAATTTATATATAATTATATATATTTTTTTAAGAAAATAATGAATATATAATTTAGTTCAGAAGATGCAGCATTCACTTTTAAAGTTACATCATATAAACATCAGCAAATAATGCATGAATGAAATTTCTTTTCTTTGTAAAAAAGAAAATTAACTGTTTATTACCTTTTTTTGTCTTTCAGTGGGCAGTGTGTTAATTTTTGTTACCAGGAAGGCAAATGCTGAAGAATTAGCAACAAACCTTAGGGCACGGGACATGAAACGTAAGTCTCATTCAGAATATTGTCCCTAAATAGCAGGGGACATTGAAAGAGTAGAAGGGGATCTGGGGTTCCTCCCTTAACAGGGGGATAAGGGAAAATACCTGATTAACTGGGGGATTATGTCATTACCGAGTCTTAGGGACAACCCTGCCCATTGTGCATGAATATATTCTTGAAACATAATAGTGAGGTGTCCATTTCTAGAGTAAAGCTACAAATGGTAAGAATATCACTTGACAGGAGTACAAGTAAAAAAATAGATAGATTCTGATAATAAAGTGTGAATCTTTTATACCTGAATAGTAAGTAAATGTTCTAAGTGGCCAAATACTTGAAGGCAAAATTCTTTACATTTATTTTCATGTTTTACCATGTAAGAGTCATATTCATATATTTTTTTTTTTTTGACAAATATAAGTTTAGGATATTTATTTCCAGATTAAGAGATATAACAATGTCATCTTTTTTCAAAGAGATTTGAAATAAATATAAATATACAGTGTATATGCAACCCATTTTTTCCAGTCGGTCTTTTACATGGTGACATGAGCCAGATGGAGAGAAATGAGGTCATCACGACATTTAAAAAGAAAGAAGTACCAATATTAGTAGCCACAGATGTAGCAGGTAGCCTACTAGTAATACAATATCAAATCATGACTTTATTTCATTAATGTATATCTGATATGAAGGAAAATGGTTAAATCAAAATTTCTTAAAAAAAAATAAAAATAAATATGTGTAGATGTAAATACGTGTAGATATAATACTCATACCAATGAATGAAATTATAAATAGAATCTGAAGAGACCATAAGATGTTAAAATAAAATGAAATTTTGTTGACTGCCATACTGTAGGGTTTTTTTTTTTAAAGTTTTCCAAAACATTCCATATTTTGAAACTCATATATGCATTTAATATATTAAAGACGCAGTCTCTGTTTTTACTTGTATTTCATGTCACAGAAAGTGTGAAATTCAATAAGTTTAGGAGATTTGTATTTTTTTGTTAAAATTGATGTACATTTTTTGATGTCAAGTAAAGGTTAGGTTGAAGGTGCTGTTTACTTTTTTTAGCCCGTGGTCTTGATATTCCTTCCATTAAGACTGTCATTAATTATGATGTGGCCAGAGACATAGACACACATACACACAGGATTGGACGAACAGGCAGAGCAGGTACGATATAAAGCTAATATCTCTGTGCTTTATTTTCTTTCGCGTCAATTCAATTTTTTGGCACATACTCTAGGGATACAGTAAAACCAAGATGTACATGTAGCAAGGTCCTTGGATCTTCAGATCTACTTTGCTATATCCATAATAAGTTATAACACATTCATAAAAGTACATTTATATACAGTGAATTGGCAATAAAAATGTTTTGTTTTTTACAACCACCAAATATGCTCAGTGAAGTATGAATAAATACAAAAACTATCATATAAAACTTGAATTTTCTGTTGAATAAAATTAATAATACTTAGAAATACATGTATGAAAAAAAAAAAAAATATACCCCCGGGATCTTTTGATCTGGGGGCATAATAATGTCAGTTCAAAAGAACTAAGTACGTTACGTATTATTCGAAGGCCCACAATTTTTCGTATTTTGATATACAAGTTTGCAAAAATATAACTATTATGTACAGTACCAACCAGACCCAACCTGACACCTAAGCAGTCCCAGAAAGCAGTCCCCGGGACTGCTCTGGGACTGCTGTGGGACTGCTCTGGGACTGCTCTAGAAAGCAGACCCAGCAGTCCCAGCAGTCCCTGGGACTGCTTTCTGGGACTGCTTTGTTCACTCATGCATGAAAAAGGTTCTGAGTGACATGATAGCTCCGCCCCTTGTGTATTCTGAATTTGCAGGCTCCCTGTTGTTGTTTTGTTTACTTTCAGCAGAGAGGTGTTTAAGATAAAGAATTAAAAAAACCAAGGATTTCTTAGAAATTTTTTAATAAGTAGAGATAGATTTACATGTAATTACTAAATGTCTTCAGGGGCTGTAAATTTACACAATTGTAGTCTAGAATTAATTTTAAAAAATGAAAGTAGTTAAAAAGGGAAGAAAGTAGTTAAAAAGGGAAGTCAGGAGATAACTTTTATTCCTTAAATTAAACTTTAATACAGGTGTCTGAAAAAAATATCTAGGCCTATTTAATTAATTAATGCTAATTAAAACTTCAATACAGGTGTTTAAAAAAAAATTTAGGCCTATTTAATTAATTAATGCTGTCAAATTATGTACTCAATTTTTGCATTAGCACTATTTAGAAAACAAACAAACTTGTCATTACAGTAAGATATTCAGAGGGACATACTGTACTGGATTTTTTTTAATTGAAAAGGCTAAAACCATGCTAAAAAAGAGCAGGCTATTTTTTTTACCGCCCTCAAATAAAACCTAATAATTTTTTAAATGACAATGAAGTAAAATTATTCTACCATTCTTTAGTCATTTAAACAATGTGAACAATTATTGGGGGATTTATTTATGAATTTGTTTTTGATTTATAAACAAGTTGTTAAAAGAGTAAATTTATTTAAAAAAATAATAAACACTTGAAAATATTGGGAATTGTGACTTATTTCTTATTTGTTTTGTTTGTGTTTTCCTGGCCAAATAATAAAAAGCAATACAGATGTATAAAATGGTGTCAACACCTGAGGTTTTAATCGCCTTTGGGCATGATTAGCAGAAAGTCAATGCATGTTATTTTGAATATCAGTGTTACACATCACTGAACACGCTGGTCAACAATGACACTAATTTTAATCTATGCACTGCAAAAAATCTTTGTTTCAATAAATGTGTATAAATTTATTTCGGGATTAATTTATTTTGAACATAATCTGAGGGTTCTATTCGCGTGATTTACAGATGTACACTCGAACGTTTATATAATAAGAGTGTTATTGTTTTCTGTTACATAGAGAATCTAACGATCATAATAAAATTGGCAAGTCAGTGAAAATAATCATAACTGAAATATAATACTCGGCAAAAGTTAACAAAGAATTTTTCAAAAGCTCCAGTACTTAAGAAAAATGCATTCAGAGTATAGTACGGGATTCGGCCTTATTCTATAATTATAAGATTTATTTAAAGCTAGTTCTGATAGAAAATAAATAACTCAAGTTTAATTTTCTATAAAAAATAAATAAATATGGAAACCGATATCAATCACAGTAAATTAAGAAATTGATTTATTTTGGTGAAAAATTAATATACCACATAACTGATTTTAAATATTCAGGTTATTAGTAGGTGTGAACGTCTTCTTTGTTCAATATTATTTGTTTCTATACGCCTAGTGTTATTTTTTAACAGTTCATAAATAACTGTCGCATGAAAATTGTAAACATTTGTTGACACTGCTCAGAAAGAAATGCATCATCAATTTCAACTGCCTTTTATAGTTACATTGTTTATTGGTAATCTCATTTCTGAGTAAGCTCCGCCCATTAAATTAATTAACCCCGCCCACTGGGACTGCTGGGACTGCTTTCTGGGACCGCTGGGACTGCTTTCTGGGACCGCGGGGACTGCTGGGACTGCTCTGGGACCGCTCTGGGACTGCTCTGGGACCGCTCTGGGACTGCTCTGGGACTGCTTTAACAGTCCCAGAGCAGTCCCAGAAAGCAGTCCCCGGGACTGCTCTGGGACTGCTTTGTGTCAGGTTGGGTCTGGTTGGTACTGTACATGTAGAAGAAGATTGGTAATTTTCATATATGCATAACAAAATTTCGCAAGTACGTTGATTAGTGGTATTCACAGGATTTAAACATCCGTTATTTCCGGAAATTGCTATTTTTTCCACTATTTTTACAACAAATTCCCAAAATTGAAGTAGTGCACACCCCTCGAGCAAAATAAAACATATATATTTGAAAATAATTTGATAAAAGACAAGCAAAAATAATGGTAAGAATTTGCTCGAGGAATGTGCAGTATGTTAATTTTGACATTTCATGACTATTTCCGGTGGCGGATACCAAGTTAGTCGAGAGGCGAGTTCTTATCTAGGAGCAATAATAATGGTGTATTTCGTGTAATAATGTTAAAGAAATAAATTTATCATTGATTGGCCATATTTATATTGCTCATACAAATATATTTGTCATGAAAATAGCATAAAAACTAAAAAAACATTTTATAGAAATGACAAATTACGATATTTTTTTTTAAACAACTAAGCCTTACACTTGCTAAATGTTGCCAGCAAGAAGGGAAGAGATCAATTTAATATACTAAAGCAATAAAATAAAAATGTTCAGCTGACAAATGAAATCACTAAAAGTATTATTGTAGAAAAGAAAATGCTTAAATCCTAGCCTTTATTTCATCTTGCTACTGAAACGGCCTAGTTGACGTCTGCATGTATGTAAATAAATTACGCAATAAACTCAACGATGACGTCACAAAAAGTCCCCTTGCAACACATTTTTTTTTTTGGAAAGGGGGGGGGGGATAAATTCCCAATCTTTTGGATGCTGTTGGTCAGGACTGATCAGATTAATTAATATTCTGAAGTCTTGTATTTTCAGTCATTTATACAAGTGCACGGTTGATGTTTCAATATATTTTTAGATTTTATAATACACGCACAATATAAGCGTGTTGCATCTGCATCTGTATATTGTAGACATTGCCGTTAATATTATGCAAAGCAATATAAAAAACAAAGGCTCATATTTCACCTAGTAAAAGAGCCACAGCGCATTTGATAGGCATTTTTGCCTACTCTACACTGTACTGGTGATTCCTTAAATTCATTGTTTAACCAAAATTTTGTCATACAATCTTAGTTTATACATGCGTAAAACCATACCACACATTAATGATATTTCAATATTAATAGTTTCCTCATATGATAAATATGATAATTATCCAGTTTGTATGGAGTATATAGTAAATATTGAGGTATCCACCTAAAGATGACAAACTGTTGTCAAAGACCACCCTTAACCAGAAAAAAAAAAAAAAACTTTTGAAGGATTTTATTCGGATATGACTGCACTTCTAATTTTGGTTAAAAGGTGGTCTTCATATTGAAAATGATGAAAATATATATTCAATTTTTCTTCTCATATAATCGTAAGATTTAGCAATCTGTCTTAAATTTATTCATTCAATGTCATTTACTTCGTTGGCGCAATGGTATGATTGCTGGAATGTAAATATGGTGATAGCGAGTTCAAGTCCCACATTTTTCCATTTATGCTTTCTTAAATTTGTTTTTCTTTGTGTATCTTTTCTACGTTTTTCTTTATAACGTTTTATGATATACATAATTTCAGAAAGTTATAATATACACAACATACACTTTGAAAGTAACTCGGGAAAAAACAGTCCTAAACTATTTTATTAAAGTTTGCAAATTCATAGCTACTTGTTTTATTTTTATTGATTTTATAAATCTTTTGTCTCAGAATTTGAGTACTGAACAAATTAAATGATTGTCATTTGACATATGTGCAACTACGAAAATATAACACTCGTCCTCAAATCATATTACATAGTTTGATCTTGAATTGAAAAGGTATCTCTATAAATAGAATCAAGTGATTTCCTTTTACATTCTTGAGTCAGCCGTGTCGTCTGAGAGGCAGCTATGGCTCTTTATTTTTTACCCGTATATTCTACTTCAGATCATTCCACATATACCAGAGTTGTAATTTCTTATCTGTCGAGGATCCAGTGAAGTTAAAAGAAGACTGGAATGAGAAAGCGACAGAAAGGTCCAAAAAGGAATTTCGGACAAAAAAAAAATAAATAAAAAGCTGTATCGGATGATGGGCTCACTTTTCACAATGTTACCTGTATAGAAAATTCTTTCACCCCATTACGGCAGTGTTAGTGTATCACACAATATAAGTACTGTGGAACAAAATTATTTGTCATTGTGGACAAGTCTGAAAACAAGTTATTTATCAGGCACGAAGAATCAGAGACGCAGGGCCCCTTCCCACTTTTTTCCGAATTTTGAAATGTTCATTAAAAGACTACCCCCCCCCCCCCCCTCTATTTGCTGTAGCATAGGTAAAGTTTAGGAATTTAGTGTATTGGGGGAAAATTGGTTGTGAAAAAAAAATGAAAAAAAGTTTGAACCTAACGTGACAAGGGGCCTCGGTTTTTAGGTCTCATCCGAAAGACCCACAACTTTCACTTCAAAGTGCCGAACGCTTGACTAAGGAACAGTTGCTACCTATTTTTTATCGACTTAGGTCGGTCGCAGCCGTGATTTGAACACACGACCTTTCGATCACGGCACGAGAGCTCTACCTGAAATGGATTGAGAGTGCCTATATTCATTCTCTCCATAGGTTTGGTATCAAAGGCTCACAATACTTACTTAAAGATAGGCTCTCATATTGAGCAAAACTTCAAGCAACAAAGTCGAAACTTCAAGCAACAGTAGTTATTTATAATTATATTTACGTATTTAAAAAAAAGATTGTAAAAGTGTTCTTCAAAAAAGTTAATGTTTATACATGTTTATTTTTATTTTATTTATTTATTTTTTAAATTATTCATTTTTTTTTTTTTGGAGAAGCTATACTAAGTTGGTGAAAAAAGCCTCAATAAGTTGCTAAAGAAAATTCGATAGAAGGTTGCCCATGCCAACTATCCAAGAGAAGTGCTACAGCTTGTTTAGGGGGGGGGGGGGTTACTTGATTCGTGCATTTGAACAGAACCATCTGGAGACATATAAAATTATTAATCGAATGACAGTACTTTTTCAGTTTTTTTTTTTTGAAACTTTTTCAGATGACAAGACAGAAACGTTTTAAACACACTTTGCTTAGATAAATTCGTGAATGGCGTCGCGAGAATGGGCTGAGGAATTTGCCCTTTCAATGTTATCTATTAATTAAAATTTCAAATACTTTTCGAAAATATCTTTAATGCTTTCTCATAAACTTTTATAGGGAATCTGACATTTATAAAATAGTGTTAAAAGTTTTAATGCAATCTTAAAAACAAACCAATTAATTTGCATAAAAAATAGTCTAGCTTTTAAAAATCAAACTCTTGCTTGAAATAGAATAATCGGATACTTATAATAAACGTACTATTAAATATATGTTACGCATTTCTCTCTCACTCTGCCCCCCCCCTCTCTCTCTCTCGTTTTAAAATCATAAAAATTAATCTTTTATTTGTACGTATATTGTCGGACCCAAAAACCAAACTGTTTGTCTCACTCTGGGGCCTTTATTTAACCGTTCGATGGGTCAACAAAACGCATTTTGCCCGAGAACCTAGTCAATAAATGTTTTGTTATACCTTTTTATCTTGTGCAGGCTTCCATGATGTAAATTGACTTAAATCACACTGCGGTTAAAATTGGTCAATTTCGTCACTGTCGAACACCAACGATTGCAAATGAAATTTAACTGATCCCGCCCACAATTTTAACATAAGCGGTCCAATTTCTCATCGACAGGTCAAATATCTTACTCCGCGGCCAAACATCGATTTTTTTTTTATGACCGCTCAGTACAACATTAGGAATGCGTATAGATTTATATAGAAACCAATTTTAAAGGTATATATAACAAAATTTTGTGTTGTACTCTGGAAATCTTCAGAATAAACTCTGAAATATTGTAGGAAGCAAATGTCAAAAGCGATTTGTGCATATGTGTACAAATGATAGAGGCTGTATTCGAATGATTAAAATTCTGTATCAGACAAGGGCGGTCTGTGAGAAAATGGATTATCTGTAAAAATCTGAACAGAAGCTTTGAGTTGCTAAAGTCATGGAAAGAGAGAGGCGCTTCACAGTTGCTGATCTTACGCGGTAAAATAAAAAAGAAATAAAACATGGACAAACAAAATTAAATTATACAGGTACGATTGTTAGCAATATAAAATAAAATTGATGGAGAAACGTTTTTAATAAGTGGCTATTGGACCAAACTGAGTGAAATGTAAAGGGAGATTTTTTTTTTTTTTTTTTTTTTTTGAAAACACCATGACGCAATGTTTTTTGACGTTATAATGTAGCTCCAGGGATATCAAACATGCTGATTTTAAAAATTAAGAAAATTGATTTCTGTTAAATCGAATGGAATGAAACTTCAAATAAATATTTTATATGAGAAAATGTGTTCTTTTTTAATATTTCTTGAAAGTAATATAACAAACTTTCCAACAACCCTCGTATTTGCGTAGCGTCGCTAGGTTGACGTCATAACGTCATAGTGTTATTTTCCAAAGAAACTATCTATATTCAGATAGCGTTGTAGGAAAAATGAGTTGAGATAATTACAAAAATTAAGCTGAATTAAAAAGATGACATCTTAGGCATGTTTCAAAAATATCTTCATCAGATTTGGGGACAGGGCCGATTTTGGTCTGTAACGTACTTTCTTCTTTGAAAGCTTTAAAAATTTGTATGTTATAAAACATGTAAATTTTATTATTTTAATCTCTAGGGGACACAAAATCAACTCGCTTCTGAAGATTCCTACATATATGCAAGGAATTATTGTGAATTATTGAGAAACGCCACTTGAAAAATAAACTTCTATTCTTCTATTTTTACATGATTATTGCTGAAATATATATATAAAAACTCTTGAACAACAGTCCATTTGCGAATTTACCTACATTCTTGGGATTTGAAGTCTTCAAGTCATTTTGGGATATTAAGTAATTGCATAAAATAAGGAATTTTTAGTTTATCCATTTTAGTTTATCCATAAATTCATTATATTAGAGTTAGTTATTTTGCATTGAATTTAGCAAAGAATTACTAAAAATGTTGCCAGGGATCAGAAGTTTTCGCTATATATGTAATTCTACTATTTATCCATACTTGTACAAATTAAGTTAACTGTATTTACAAATTTTACTATAAATTGATTTTTTGAATGAGGATCCCTTCGGAAATTGAAATCACAGTATCTTAAAAAAAGGGAGGGGGGTTCAATTTTCCTTTACTTACTAGCTAATATGATGCCTTGAAAGAAGATAATATTTTGTAATAAATCTTTTGATCAGGAGAGAAGGGTTTCGCTTACACCTTGGTGACAGACAAAGACAGGGACTTTGCCGGACATCTTGTTCGTAACCTGGAAACAGCTGGACAACACGTCCCACATAATCTGCTAGAGATAGCTGAAAAGGTAAAATCTTCACTTCTATTTGTTTAGTGTTAAATTAGTACAAGTTATGATGACTAGTGAATCATTTATTTCTGTAAATCAGAGAAATATTACAGATAGTGAAAAGAAAAAGAATTTCATTAAAATTTAATCTACCAATCGATGCAATTTTTTTTTAAAGAAGTCATTCTTGAAGATGACATATTTTGTTAAAAAAGATACTAGTATAAGTATTTTGTCTTTGTCAGAGTAATTTCATTCTATCAGTAAGTGGGTCAATTGAACAATACTCTGTATCATAAATCAAAGGAAGTGTGCATGAAAATTTTATTCTGTTGTGAATTTATTATGAAATTTTTTGCAAACCTTGTATGAAATGATAAAATGCAATTTAAGATGATCGTTAAACACTCAATACATATCATGTAGTATGTTTACATGTACATAGATGTATATATATTTTTACATGTACACATATCTTGTAAATACATGTGTACTAATAAATGTTGATATAGATTTATTCTTATGCCACATGATGATAAATAAGTTTTTTTTTAAATTTATTTTTAAATTTAGTTTTTCAAATATTTGAACAATTCTGCATCACATTTTTTGCACTACATTGACACACGAAACAAGTTATTTAAGGAGTTAAGTAGAAAAATATTTTTCCAATGTAAATATCTGCAGTTAAAGTTAATACCATGTGTATGTACTCAAGCTGAGATGTTAAACTCTTGCCATTTCATCTATAAGAATCTATGCTTTTTTAATGCAGTGTACTTAATAAGTTTACCGTAACTTTTTGTGATCTATTTTAGAATCCATGGTTCAAGAAAATCAGAGGCAAACAGGGCGGTAAAGGAAAGAAATTAAATCTTGGGGGTAAAGGCCTCGGGTTCAAGGAAAGGCCAGGATTGGGGGCAGAAAGTGTAAGTATCAAGGTCAAGGGCCTATTAAAAACAATTACAGTCAAAATTTGTTATCTCGAATATGTCAGGACCTGCATGAAAAAGATATTTGAAACAATCATGTATTATCATATATTAATCTACTTAACCCTGCTACAAAATGACCATTTTCTGTTTTTTTTTTTTTTCGTAGAGTACCAGAGTACAAGATTCCACCAGTCTTGGGAGTTTCCGAGGAATTGGGTCTTCAGCGGGACCTCAGAGTGACCGATTGGCAGCAATGAAAGCTGCATTTTCTGTAAGTACTGTATAAGTGGAATTTTTAGCGAGAAGCAATTTTAGCGATTTTATATTGCCAACAAGAGAAGCTATTACAATAAAGCTAGCGATATTCAATTTTAGCATCCTCAACACAATCCCTAATAATGCCTAAATTAAATCTGCTTACAAGGTATTACTCCTGTTGCTGCCCTCTGAAGGAGACAGTTCATAGGCATAAAAGCACACACTCATTATACCCCCCGCAAACGAAGTTTAGGGGGGGTATATTGGAATCACCATGTCCATCTGTCTGTCCGTCTGTCTGTAGACAAGATTTTGTCCTGAGCGTTTCTTGGAAACTATTGCACAGATCTGTCTGAAAATTTGTACACTTATTATTCACCATATGAAGGTGTGCCAGGGTTAGAAACCCCCTAAAATTACAACTCGCAAATAATTGCGAGTACCAAGAAAGTGAACTCGCAATTTTACAAGACTATTCGCAATTTTCGTAAAAAGTTGAATTTATATAAATTAAATACATGTAACTTAAGGAAAAAGTAACTATTGTACAATACACAAAATGCAACTACAGTGTGGCTTTTATTTAAATTGCTGATTTAAATCAAAAGCATTGTGTTCTGTCATTTTATATAATTTTGCTACAGTTTCAATGCAAAAAAAATTGACTCGCAAGTTTTTGCGAGTTACCTAATTTTTAACTCGCAATTTGGGAATTTTAACTCGCGTTTTGTGAGTTGTATATAGTGAATTTCGAACCCTGTGTGCACCTGGTATTTTCATCATGATTGAATAATTTTTCTGCATTTTACAGGTGTTTCTTTCATTTTTATTATGTGGTTTTGTCCTGACCTTTACTCAAAGACTATTTCATAGAATTGTATGAAAATTTGTACACTCATTATTTACCATGTGAAGATGTGCACCTGGTATTTTCAACATTATTTGATATTTTTTCTGCATTTTACAGGTTTTTTTTTCATTTTTATTGACTTAGTCATTTTGGGTTTATTTCTAAGGTTTGAGACACAGAATCTAGAACATCTGTACAAAAATGTGAACTACTGCTTAAAACTATTCATTAAAACAAAAAAAAAATCACCAAGTATTAAAAACAATTTTTACATTACACAGCAGATAGTGTAAATCCATTTGTCCCTTGGGACTAATGAGTGGACATCATCCTGTTAGAGAAAAATTAATGAGTTCAGTGTGGGAAGTTGTTAGGGCATCTCTGATCAAGCATGTGTTATCTATATCTCCTGGGAATTTAAAGATCTCTGTTCTTTAATTCTCTTAATTGTAATTTATTGTCTGTCATAGTACATAGTTACTGGATGACCAGCCTTTCATTTTTAAAATGAATTTGATATAAATTTATCAAGATTAATTTGATTTTGTAATTAATTGATTTTTTTTTCAACAATCAATGCAGAATGTCATGTCTCAAAAAGATGACAGATAGTTGCAATTTATTTTTTCAATGTATTTAAAAAAACAATGTATCTACAATGTATTGGTATTGACGTTTTATTAGGCTGTTCCTTGGTTTCATTCATTAAAAAAATATAATGAGCAATTATTTTTTCACTCTAAATGTTAATAAGAAAACACCTCTTAGATCCATAAAATATTGGTGATTTGGCACCTCTGAAAAACCCAGCGGGGGGTATTTGTCCCTTTTGGACAGTTCTAGTTTTCATTGTACATACATGTAATTATATATTTCTGAAAAAAAAATACAAAACTGGACAGAATAAGAATAGTCCATCTAAATTTTATTAGGTAAAACAGTTTCATAGCTATTGAGCAAAAAATTAAAAAAAAAAAATTGTTGTTATTTGGATACTCATCGTTAATTCAGAATTTATAAATGGAAAAGAAATAATTGCACAATTTTGATTGTTACGACATAGTTGTGTAGTAATTTCCCTCATTGCAGGCTCAATTTAAATCCAATTTTGTGGCAGCGGAGTCCACAAGTATGCCGAAAGTGGAACCAGGAATATACAACCCCATCAACAGTAGCAGTAATCGCAAGAAAAAGAGTCGGTGGAATTAGGTCATTTCAAAAACCAAGAAGAGGGTCATCTGGAATGTGGATGAAAGTAGTTCATTCCCTGTTCATATGATGTAAACTGAATAGACTCGGTTTTCACCTCCAGTGAAACAATATGTATTTCATCTGATCCTGGAACAACAGTATCTGTTCAAAAATGTGAATGGCAGTAAAATCTAATTATTTTTTAAATGAATGGTTAACATATATTGAATGTGGACTGGTAATTTTTACTGTGGTTTGGTTACACCATGCCTTGTTATTGGACTTGAAGAAAATGTCTGAACTGAAAATTTTTGATTTTCTGATATAGAATTATCTTTTTACGAACACTGTTTAACACATAAGTGGCGGGAGAGAGATTTCTTCACAGTTATGTATACACCGTTTGAGTTGGTTTGAATTAATGTTGAACCTGTTAGTTTTGCTTGAAATGTGAATTTTTAAATTTTACAAAGTGGAGATATCATCTCCTAGCATTAACACATTGATCAAAAGTTGAAGCCATTAATTGTAATCAAATTGAGCTTTCATGAAGTACAGTATATTTGTATTTATTCAGAATTAAATTTTTAACATTTTGTTATGTCAAGGAAAAAAAATCCAAATTGTGCTTGGGTCCTTATTTTTCAAGGAAATCCAATCTGCATTTTTTTTTTCCAAATCTTGAAATGTGCCGAGGAGTGGAGAACACTATAAACTTTCTTATAATTTCAAGTAAATGTGTGTTAGCAAATTCTCTAGTTACTTTTGTTTATTTAGTATTCATCCAGTGTCCATAGTACAAATTTTTTGAATGCTTTTCTCTTTGATGTTTGTACACCTTAAGATCTGACAAAACTTAAAATATCCTCAGAAATTTAATTAACAGGAAAGTAATGGTGTTCTTAGTGATCACATGGTTAATAAATTGAAAATTGACATTTTTTATTTTCACAAAATTTTTAATTTTTAGATGGAATCACTTATTTACTGTCAGATGAAGTCTTACTTCATAAGTATTGAAATCATACAAAAATCTACAACAGTTATGAAGTTTATAAAATCATGAATTTGACTGCATCTTTTAGTACTGATTCAGCACTTTGCTGGTACACTAAAGACAATTTTTTTTAAACAAAATTTTGAACTTATAAGTCCTTACTACAGGAGAAACAGTAAGTACTAATTCCTTTTCAAATCTTTCACTAATTTGAAAATGAATTGGAACTCTTTTGTATTAAGTCTCAGTATCCTTTTTCACAAAAATTCTTACAACTAATATTAAAATTTGACAAGTCTGAAATTGCTTTCTAATAAAGACAATTATTATTTCTGAAGAATAATTCACAGAATATTGTAATGTAATAGAAATATAAGATTTTTTGTAATCTTCAACAATTAAGGAACGTATAGAAGAATTGGAAAATTTTAATCTTTAATAGTCGTAAGATTTTTTGTGAAAGGGGCTACTGGATTTGATATACCCGGTACATGTAATAAACCCAACTTTTTGCAAATTTGATTTAAAAATAAAGTTTAAAAATTACTACATGATATATTTTGGTTTTATTTCAGCAGTAATTTTTTGTATCTTTTTTGGATATGAGAGTCACTGAATAAATATATTCGAGAACTAGTTTCTTTTGCAAAAAAAATTTTTGATTTATTGAAATTCAAATTTTGGCAACCATATTTTAATGAACTAGGTGTGAGTGAGAGATTATTTTATTAGATGATATGCAGCTTATTAATGAAGGAAGTTTATTTGAGAGAAATGCATTTCAATCTTTCAAATAAATGCAGTATTATAAAACATAAAGCTTTTTGTCTATGATTGACTAATTTGTACATGTCAGTTATGAAACTGCATGTGTCCTTGCAAGAGTGAAGAAACATTTCACAGAGTATTTTTACTTGTGACTTCATAATGATATCGACGGTGAACTTTGGCATGTGACTTTCAATCAAGATCTTGGGGATTGCCTAAAAAGAATAACAGCAATGTTGAATGAAATTCCATGTAATTCTCAGTTGTGACCTTTAAATTACTGCATTTACAGTAAGTTAAACCCATCTCTGAGCCTTGAGATTCATAGGGCAAGCACTTATTCCCGGTTTCTCTGGTATTAGCAGATGACTAAATGGGAGTCATTGATTCCCCCTTGATGGGACACCACTTCCATCATAGGTTAAATTTCCAGCATATAAGCTGGTACCAATTTCAGCTTGATGGATTTAGACAATGTAGATAACATGCCAACGGTGGAGTCTGAGCTAATGCCTTTGTGTTACAGAATCTTTATGACATTTTTTTTGGTTTTTTTTTGCTATATCTTTAACAGTCTGGGCGATTTCCAAATATGGAAGTCAAGAACGATAACTGAAAGTTGCTATAAATATACATCAACGTAAATATTTTCTGCAAAATCAGACAACAGCATTTTTACACACCCAAAACATATTTCAGAGGAACAAATGCAAATTAGCTCATTCCAACATCTCAACGATCTGTTCAACATCAATTTTTTTTATTACCCAATATAGTAGATATCTTTTTATTTACAAATAAATCTCGCGCCATTTTTATTTGTAAATAAAAAGATATCTGCTATACTTTAAACATAACATAGTAGATAGAATTATATTTTATTTATAAATTGAGTTGGGGAATGCCTTATGATGATATTAGCGTCGTAAGATGTTATTGATTTTTTAGATAGAATATGATTTATAAAGTAAAAATAAACATATTATGCATAAAATTTATTTGAATTGACCAAATAAACCTTGAGTTCTCTAGGGTTCTCTGTTTAGACAGTCGACATAATCTGCTAAAATTCATACAATATCATTTTATACACATAATTTAAATGAGAAAGCAACTTGAAGATACGATAAATGTATTTTTTTTTTATTTGCTAAACAATATACCTCCACTTTACACAGAAAATCTGAACAATAATGATTACAAAGTATTGTAAACAATATTTATAATCGGGCTCGTTCTTTCAATAACTTTACTTTCACTTTAAGAGTTTTCCGTGGTGAGTAAGTTACCAAGTGTTTGGTACATGCTGTAACCTCGGTCACGGTGCGTATAATTCATGCAATTTGCAGAGTAGTAGGAGGGAAGTTGTTAAACAGTTTACCATGGTAATCTCCTCTTTTTTTAAGTTGAAAAAAATGCTGCCAAATTCCAGCTACAATATAAATGAGCTGGAGTTACCTCTCCTTATATGATATGAAAAAAAATCCCCCTCTTTTTTCATAACTGCCGATCTATAGCTCATTGATTTGAACAAAAAAAATCTATAACAAGTTGCATGTAAGAGTTAAAAAGTAAAGTTGACATTCGAAGAAAGTATAATCTTTTGGTATTGTATAAGTTGAGACCACTTACAAAAAGTGGAATATAATCAGATAATATTCTCTTTAGAGAAGTGGACAGGCTTTCGCCTATACATCCATGGATGTAGGCAAAAGCCTGTCCACTTCTCTAAAGAGAACTTACCAACAAAAATTTGACCTCATGACCTTGACTTGGTTGTATATTCATTTGCCTTAAAATGGGTTTGCCCTTGACCCCGTTCACTCTATATCTTGTTCGCCCAAAGTCCATTTGTTCTTTCTATGTAGTCGGTTAAACTTTCGTTATTTCATTTGATTTGATTGAATTTCATGAATTTCTCTATTTAGATTACAATTTGTAATATCCCCAATACTTGAATTTTCAGTATAGATGAAGAAATAAAAAGAAACTCTTAAGTAATCGATGTGATACACGTTAATTTATTAGTAATGTTTTATAACATTATATTAAGTTTAGAATTAAAAGATAAGTAATAAACCTGTTGCTCCGACGCAGCTTGTCCCCAATTTAAAATGGCCTATCAACATGATTAATGTCACTCTCAATTTCCTTTATTATTTTCAAAACATACATTTAATACGAATCTTAAATAACAAAACAAAACAATTAATGAAAGTATTCCCTAATTTACCGTACTTATGTAATAAATTAACAGCAATTAAACTGATTACATTGATAAACATTGAAATCGGAAATAAAGTCAATACTGATGGAAAGGAAATTTATATATTATATATTTTACTTAATTCTATTTAATAAAAAAATCAACAATAATGATGACATAATTAAAATATCACCAATAGGGCGAACAGGATATATAGCGAACGGGATGCAGGGCGAACGAGATTTATACATGCGAACAGGTAGATAGGGCGAACGGACTCAATACCCCTTGCCTTGGAGTTTGACTTAACTTTGGCCATAACCTGTGAATAGTTGGTGCTAGCTAGTTCTTTCTTATTTAATAAATGTATTTCTTGTAACAAAACCTTTCATTGGGTACAGATACATGTAACAAACATTTTTTATCTCCTGCCCTACATGTATGGGGCATCAGTACTAGTGTTTCACAAACACATCTTTTAATTGTCCCCATTTTTTAAACTGTAAATTTATATCATAACCCAACAGGCTTTTATATCCCATTTGGGTGAGTAGTGCCTGGAGTCTAATAAATGTATTATATAATGCCAGACTGTGGATATCAGGCTGGTTTGTTCAATATCATTGTAAAAAGGTTCCTGGTATTTTGTTCGATTCCCAGTCCAGCCATTTTCTTATTTCCTGTTGCATTTGGTGCTAGCTGAGTAGCTCTTGACAATCCCTGGACTTTCAGGTGAAAACATGCCAATGGCCAAAAGATCTGAGTTTGTGTCTTTGAGAGCAAAAAAATTTACCTTTTCCTCAAAGTAGTTTTGCTTTGAAGACATTTCCATCATCAATTTTATAAATCAACGTGTTTTTTTTTTGCACTAGATTCACAGATTGAATAATAAAAATGCAAGTAAACACAATGTTGAAGAATCAAAATCTAAATGAAAGTAGAAAAACAATACTTATTAATAATTAAGGTAAGCTGATATGAATAGTAACATTGTCTGTCTGTTACCAGCATGTCCACCTCTTAGAATCTTGGCTATGACTGTTAACAAGTCAAAACTTCAACTTGCTGCAGAATCGTTTGATTGGTTGAGAAGTAATACCCATTTGCACATGTAAATTAGTCAGGTCATTAGAGAGGTCGTGTCACAAGTCATTTAGAATAATCATATCCTATTGTATGAGAGGTGCGTGTCGGGCCAAGGCTTAAATTGAACTATTGCTGTCACCTTAAGCCCTGTATCTCTCATATGGTAGAAAACTCATAAACTAACTCTCAAATATTATGTACATGTTGGGTGAGAACGGGAACAGTATGATATTTTCTGCTGAACTTGACATATATTTTCTGAAAATTAAGAAAATAAGGTTTTTGTAAAGCTAGACACAAGAAGTTCTTGCGTCATTATAATATTGATTAATAAAGTATTTGCTACATTGTAAATTACACTGTGCAATTGAAGAAAACATCTTTCGACAAGCTAAGTTTATAAAGTTAGAAGTTTAAGGGTCAGTTAAGACAACCAAATATCATGCTTTGTTCTTTTAGATTTTAAAGACCAGATGATAATTAATTTATCCCATTTGTTTCAGGCTTGAGAGATACTGCTCTGCAGTAATTTTAGCATATAAATCAAAACAAGAAAATATCTAACCAGAAGAAAATTTGAAGGTACATCTATCCTGTCAAGTCTTAAAGTAGTTGAAAATAGAAATCTGGGGAATTGTTAAAATAAATGTCAGTTTGTTTATAATCATTGGTTTTAATATCCTACACATGTAGCAATAATTTTTTTATAGACATATTTTAGCTGCATTAAATGAAAAAAAATGTCAGAGAGAGAGAGAGAGAGAGAGAGAGAGAGAGAGAGAGGATCAGCTGTTGCAGCCAGCTTCATCATCTTGATTATTCATTAACTCTCAGAATTCCTATAGCCATCAGGGTTTCTTTTATGAGTGAGAATTCACTTTGCATGCTGTGTTGTACTTCTTCTGCATGGCTTCTCATTCTTAATCTGTTGATAGGAACTGTGAGAGAATAAAATGTCTAAAAAGATTACTTGTCACAGGAAGTTGTCGGAATTGATGGATTGGGGGAGAAGAGGAGTCCAGTAGTCCATGTCTGAAAATTACAGACCTTAAATTACAGAGAATTAAAACACTCATGAATGTGTGTAATACTCTGTGAAAAAAGTAAAAATGTATGGACAAGAAAAGCTTTCCTATAGCTATAAGCATGTTTTGCTTGAATTTATGAAATAAATTTATGTGAATAATGTGAAAATGTTATTTCTATTTTAGATTTTTTTTTTCACATATTATCAGTTTACATTCTATGTGTATTTAACCTTAAATTATTACTTTATTTTACATATGTATTTATCTTTACAGAATATGCACTTTGGAAGTGAAAGAGAACTAAATGTGACAATGTAAGATATGACACATAACAATATTGCTGCCCTGTAGGAAGGAACTAGCAGGTAAATAATTTCTAAATAGGACCAATGGTTACCATGGTTACAATGTAAACTTCTCTGTAGTGAGATTTTTTATTACATTTTCAACAGTGAAATACTGTAATTTATTATATGAAATTAATTAAAAGTTGATATTATCAATATTAGCATAGGGATCACTCTCTAATGTTATGCATTGAATGAGGAGATTCTTGTTTCAGAATGATACTGAACCTGCATCGGTTATCTGTCTTCATGCCTCATGAGAACTTAGTTCTTTAATTAATAGTCACAAATTTTCATCTATTTACAATATGTTCAACATTTTTAATCTTAGAGCTTTACCATGTAATGAATTCTTACTTCGATTTGTAATTTATGAATCTTTTCACTCAGATTAATATACATGTAGTTTCCAAGGTTAAACACTTCTGTCATATTTGTTGACTTTTGTTAACCTGAAAGGTATATATACCTCAATCTTTTTTGCTTCAGCTCTTTCAAATCAAATCTATAAGGCAGAGTTGACTCAAAGCATCTTTTGAGCCTTGAGTGTGCAAGAAAATTAGAATAGGGCAAAAAAAATGACATGACAATATTACAAAAAAAAGAAGGAAAAAAAAGAATTATATGCATTAATTTGGATTTTCTGACTCAATCTACAGCTATTATGTTGGTGCTCATTAGAGTGTTTATACACGTTATATGACTGTTTTCCCCTTGTTCCTCCATCACAGACACATAATTCAGCCATTACAGGTAGTTACCAGTCTTTTGTCCCTACCAAACTCGGCTTTTATCTCTCGTTGATCGCTAAGCTCCAATCACAGGCAGGAAGCTGATAATTACCTGAAGTCGGATATCACATCATTAGAAGGACATGCAATTCTCGAGAAACATTAAGAAAAAAAAGGCCTGTCTGATAATCTGCAGTCAATAAAAAATTAATAATGTGGGAGAATGAAATACTTAATAAATTCTATGATTTAATTCATTCATAATTGAAAAGTACATTTAGTTTGACAGTTTTAACCTCAAGATATTCATTAACTTTATAAGTACATGCATTTTATTAGCTCACCTAAACCAAAAGATCAATTATCAGTTTTGCTTTTCTGATTGAAATTTGTCCATTGCCTGTTGTCTTTGTTGTTGTTATTGTAAACATTTCACATATTCATCTTCTTCTCCAGAACCATTGGTCCAATTTGAACCAAACCTAGCACAGAGTATCTCTTGGTAAAGGAGATTCAAATTTTTCCAAATGAAGTGCCACGCCATCTTCCAAGAGGAGATAATAAAGAAATAGTGAAAATTGCATGGGGTCATTTAAAAATCTTCTCAAGAACCTCTGGGCCAGAAAAGATGAAACTTTAGTGAAAGGTTTCTCAGGAAGGGTATATATCAAGTATGTTCAAATCATGACACCCAGGGGTACCATATGACCACTATGGGTGATCAAAGTTTTACATAGGAATACAAAGGAAAAATCTTCAAAATTCTTCTTCTCAAGAACAGCAAAGTCTTGATTAGTCATATTTATATGGAAGCATCCTCAGGTAGTGTAGATTCATTTTTCTTCAAATCATGCCCCCAAGAGGTAGGGTAGGGCCATGAAGGGCAATCAAAATTTTAGATACACATAGAAATATATAGTAAAAATCATCTTCTAGGGAACAGCAAAGTCATGATACATGTAAGTCATATTTATATGGAAGCATCCTCGGGTAGTGTAGATTCAAGTTTGTGCAAATCATGATGCCCCAGGGTAGGATTGGGCCACAATATTTTATTTTAAATGTACAAAAGAAGATGTAGGGGAAAACCCTACTGATAAAGAACAGAAGGACCATAGTAACTCAGGTGAGTGTTGTGGCCCATGGGCCTTTTGTTCGTATATGTATACGTGAGGACAGAGGACATAATCTTTTTATAACATATATTAAGAGTTATTTCCCTTATATTCTGCAAAATTGTTGCCTGTTACATGTATACTTATGTAAGCAGTCCCCCAAATGATAAGAGATATAAAGACAATGGATATATTGATCAGTTGCTCAATAATTAATTAGTTTAATAAAATATGAATATCATTGCAGTGAAAGATTTAAGGCTATTTATAGTAACACTTGCTACGAACAAAAAAATTGATGCATGGATTGTATATAATTTTCAATTTAATTTTGGTTGTAAATGAATCAAATACCAAATTCCTTAAATGTGAAGAAATTGTAAATTTTCTATGCAAATATTATATGTATTCCTAATTCTCACTTTTCGTCATTCCCCTTATAACTGTACATGTATATACATTAAATTTTATTTTTTTAAGAATCGCTGTATATTAGGACACTATATGCTGAGAAATCTTGAATAAAAATTAAACCTTACAAAGTTAAACTTACTTTTTTATTTATACATAAATATAGGTAGATCTGGACAGGTATATATTTTCAATATTTTTGAAAAAAAAGTTTGTAGCAAGTGGCCTTATAAGGAAATAAAACACTCTAAAGGCATGCTCTTATAAAAGACTATTGGAAGGAAAAGCACTGATGTTTAAAATTTGCTATGGAATTTTTATAGGAAATTGTAAAGCCATAACTCTGTCTAATGAAACAGCAGATGATTTGAGAAAACTTCAATCAATAGAAACATACGACTGAGAAGTGTAATAAAACCCTCTAATTACGGATTTATTGCAGATTTACTTTAGAAGCTTGTCACTGTTGCGATTCCGCTGCAGGAATTATGAAATTCCCTAATGAACGGGATGTACAAGCATTCTGGGAATGGAGGGGATTTTGAACATTAAAAAGATTGAGTATCAGCATGATCAGGCTTTTACAGATAGATGTTTTCAGCTGAAACGAATAATGGATAAAGTAAGGGGTCATGCATGCATTGTCAGTATTTCTCAAGACTTTACCTAAGATTTTTTTTACCCTTCGTTAATATTAAAAGAAGTAAATTAGCTTACATGCAATGGAATCTCTCAGATTTTTATGCATTTTCAAGGTACATGTCAATTTCTTAAGTTGTTGTCACTCAAAGACAGCTCAACAGAAGGGCCTAAGAAGAGAAGAAACGGAAAGTGAAAATGTTAATAAGCCCCACAGGATTAACTTATGAATAGAAAGTTTTCATTTAATATCTCATGTAACATGTATTGGGTTGGGAGTGTGTGTTTGTTGAAAGGGGGTGGGGGGTGGGGAAGGGAGATACTGATGCACTGTTAACTTATAAAATTTGAAATTTTTCGGTAAAATTGAAAATTGAATGCTTGACAATTCTTCATTTCCTGCAATGAAATATTTTAATTAATATTAACCCTGCACACATTGTTAAACGAATATTAGAAAAACCTCAAATGTGACATTTTTTCAGATTTTGCAATTGTATATAATATATTAATTACAGTAATTCATTGTTGAAAATGTAATCAAATATATATATATATATATATATATATATATATATATATATATATATATATACATATATATATATATATATATATATATATATATATATATATATATATATATATATATATATATATATATTTACATTTGCAAATGTTTTCCCTTATATAACACTATTGAAAGCAACGCGTATCTGTATCCATATAAACACAGGTTCCTCGCATCATAAACGTTCGACGTAATTTCAAAGTGACGTCATAAAGGGTTGACGCTCAAACAATGGATCAAATACGTGCCGTTGAGTTTGAAAAATAAAACATTTCACGAGTTAAAGATTATAATCAGGAAAACATAAAATATGAATAAGTCATAAATGTAAATATAAGTAATAAGGTATCATTTTTAAACATCTATTGGATATAAATACGGGTTGGTACGAGATCAAATTTACCATAAAGCCCTTCGGGCTTTAAGGAATTTGATCTCGTGACCAACCCGTATTTATATCCCGATAGATGTTTAAAAATGATACCTTATCCCATTCACGGGCTCACGGTGGTACACCAAAATTCACGGGAAATGAAAATTTGTAGCGTATTCTGAATTTTTTTACCGTAAACCGCCATTTCTCTTTCATTCTCACTCTCGCAACATCGGAAATCTTGTTTGATGTGTGACTTGCTGCGTTTGGTTAATGTAACAAAACATCATGAAGGACGGTGTGAAACATTCCAGCGATAATTACATTGTAATTAAAACATATCAAAGATTTTTGTTGGGCTGAATATTTTTAAAAGGACCATCATTTAGGTTTTTTTCCAACTGTAATTAGTTAAAATTTTGTCAATAGAAATTAAAGACGTTTACAAGAGGAAACTTTTTTTTCTTTGCTTATAGGCATAAGTATTATCCTTTCTAACACAGTAAGAGAAATGATTTTAGCATCATTAGAAAAATGCAGATGACTGGAGATGACCAGACTCTTGCATTTAACACTGTACTGTGGAAGTCTTTTTACCAAATTCAAAATTCACCTATCGCATTGATTTTTCGTCAATATTTTGTACAGGTTTTTGTACAGTTTTTTGATGAACAATGTATAGTATTTTCACCTAAATTCCAGTATTTTGATGACTCTTGTACAGTATTTTGGTCTAAAAATTATCACATGTATGACATATACAAAAGGGTTTTCTACAATTCAAGTCAAAAATCTATGAATAAATCTTTTGAATAATGAAAGATTTATATATTAATCTGTTTTTTCATTGATTCCACAATCATTATGTAGAAAATTTGAATTGCTCCAGATCGGCAGTATTTTAAATTCTGTAACAACTAGAAATGCATTTAGTATAAATTGATTATAGTCATAGGGGCTTTTCTTCCGAATTGTTAAATGTAAAGTTTAAAAAAGACGTACCACATCTATATACATAAACTCTACAAAGGACGAAAGCTCTCATCTTGAAACTCACTTTAGCAACTATTTCTGGACTCTAAAGCATTAATTTATTTCATTGCCATAGTTCTGTCCACTACAATGATGATTTTCCTAAATGTTCATGCGGTTGTCAGTTGTCAACACATGTTTAATCGAAAGAAAACGGATACAATTTCTTGGATTTGGGGCTCATTTTTCTAGGGGACAGAACTATGGTAATGAAATAAATTAATGCTTTAGAGTCCAGAAATAGGTGCTGAAGTGAGTTCCGGTATTTTTTCCAATATGAGAGCTTTCGTCCCTTGTAGAGTTTATGTATATAGGTGTGGTACGTCTTTTTTAAACGTGGTTTTTCTTGACTGAAAGTGTCAGAATCTCTATTTTAAAAACTAAGTGTATTTAAAGAAGATTCAATTTTTTTAAAATTTACTTTACATTTAACAATCCAGAAGACAAGCCTCTATCAGGGTTCGAAATTCACTATATACAACTCGCTAAATGCGAGTTAGAATTCCCAAATTGCGAGTTAAAAATTAAGTAACTCGCAAAAACTAGTGAGTTGATTTTTTTTCCTTGGGAAAAAATCAGTCCCTTCTTGGTTATAGTTTTCATTTTGGTTATGTATTTTATTTTCCCCTTCTTTAAATATCAGCATGGCTATTTTTTTTTTTTTAAACAGCAGTTAGGAGAGGGTGCTGAAGTCAAATGAACAGCACCAACAATGATGATCATCTGTTTCATTTGAAATCTTCAAAAATAATAGGCATGGGAAAAGGGTTAATTATAACCCTCGAAAAAAAAAAAAGTTGTGAATGAGTAATTTGTGAAACTCTATTATAAAATTTGTAAGAACTTTGTCACTTTTTAATAATAGATGTATAAATACATGTACAGTAGTTTAATTCCTCATATTGCAGTTCAATTATCAAGATAAAGTGAGAAAAAACATGCATTGAAACTGTAGCAAAATTATATAAAATGACAAAACAAAGCTTTTGATTTAAATCAATAATTTAAATAAAAGTCACACTGTTGTTGTATTTTGCGTATTGAACAGTAGTTACTCTTTCCGTAAGTTACATGTGTTTAATTTTTATTTCAAAAAGGCTGTTCTAAGAAAATTGCAAGTAGTCTTATAGAATTGCTAGTTCACTTTAATGGTACTCGCAATTATTTGTGAGTTGTAATTTTAGGGAGTTTCTAACAATGCTCTATGATTATAGTGGCCAGGAATCTCCACGATTCATGATCACATTCTAATTGATTTTGTTTTCTTTATCCTCTCCATATATTTTGCTTAAGTTTTGAAAATTCATAATGTACTTATAAAGTAAATTTTACAAAATTTTGAAAAAGTTTGTCTTTATGATGTAATTAATAAAACACTATACCCAAAGCAAGTCAAATCTGTGCAGGTTAGCAGCACAGGCACAGGAAGAAATGTCACAATTATTTGAAAAAGTCCTCTAATCCAGATTTTATTGCAGGCCTAAATCTATCAGAATCAACACTTGGGGGAGATTTTTATTTTCAGTCAAATCACAAGGGATGGGGGCTGTCTTTTTTATACTCTGTGTTTTATTTTATTTTCAGTGTAGAGCTGGTGGCGTATTGATTTTTCTTTACATTAGCTATTAGTCACTGCCTTTTCTGGTGACAAACAGAACAGAGCAAACACGCTGAGAAAGTGAGCAGCCGTGGGAGTTCCGGCTTTCTCCTCCCTGGGCTACAGAAAGAGGGGGATGTGGATCTGATGTACAGGTACTTCCTGGCGTAACTGTTTACCTGTGGATCTAGAACATCATACCAGTATTGGTAAGTGAATAAAGAGAGATAACTCTTCATTGTCTGTTTGAAATGGTCCCATTTCTCCTTTTACTGTGACAGTAATAATGTTGAATATTATGTTATATTTACAATGGATATGTACTTTTCTTATAAAATGTGTTTCATAAAGCACGTTATTAATAAGCCTGTTAATTAGTATGTCAGCACAACTGTCTGTGTATAATTATTGATGAACATCAAAAATTTATAATTCAATGCCTTATTATGTTTTGATGGACCAGTGCATGATTTTACCCTTGAATCCAGACGCATAAAAGGATCCTGTCCTTATTGAGAATTAACTTTTTTTTGCCCAAAATTTAGGTAAAAATTCCCAAATAAGCACATTGAAATTTTCAGTGCTTTTTATAAGCTCACCTGAGCTGAAAGCTCAAGTGAGCTTTTCTGATCACCTGTTGTCCGTCGTCCATCCGTCTGTCCATCCGTCCGTCTGTCTGTCTGTCCGTCCGTCCGTCCGTCTGTAAACTTTTCACATTTTCAACTTCTTCTCAAGAACCACTGGGCCAATTTTAACCAAATTTGGTACAAAACATCCTTGGGTGAAGGGGAGTTTAGATTGTAAAAATGAAGGGCCAAGCCCCCTTCAAAGGGGAGATAATCAAGAAAAGACAAAAATTGGGTGGGGTCATTAAAAAACCTTCTCAAGAACCACTGGGCCAGAAAAGCTGAAACTTATGTGGAATCATCCTGGGGTAGTGTAGATTCTAAATTGTTCAAATCATGACCCCCGGGGGTAGGGCAGGGCCACGATAGGGAATCCAAGTTTTACATTGAAATATGTAGAAAATATCTTTAAAAATCTTCTTCTCAAGAACCACTGGGCCAGAAAAGCTGAAACTTAAGTGGAAGCATTCTGGGGTAGTGTAGATTCTAAATTGTTCAAATCATGACCCCCAGGGGTAGGGCGGGGCCACAATAGAGAATCCAAGTTTTACATTGAAATATATAGGAAAAATCTTTAAAAATCTTCTTCTCAAGAACCACTGGGCCAGAAAAGCTGAAACTTATGTGGAATCATCCTGGGGTAGTGTAGATTCTAAATTGTTCAAATCATGACCCCTGGGGGTAGGGCGGGGCCACAATAGGGAATCCAAGTTTTACATTGAAATATGTAGAAAATATCTTTAAAAATCTTCTTCTCAAGAACCACTGGGCCAGAAAAGCTGAAACTTACGTGGAATCATCCTGGGGTAGTGTAGATTCTAAATTGTTCAAATCATGACCCCCAGGGGTAGGGCGGGGCCACAATAGGGAATCCAAGTTTTACATTGAAATATATAGGAAAAATCTTTAAAAATCTTCTTCTCAAGAACCACTGGGCCAGAAAAGCTGAAACTTATGTGGAATCATCCTGGGGTAGTGTAGATTCTAAATTGTTCAAATCATGACCCCCAGGGGTAGGGCGGGGCCACAATAGAGAATCCAAGTTTTACATTGAAATATGTAGAAAATATCTTTAAAAATCTTCTTCTCAAGAACCACTGGGCCAGAAAAGCTGAAACTTATGTGGAATCATCCTGGGGTAGTGTAGATTCTAAATTGTTCAAATCATGACCACCAGGGGTAGGGCGGGGCCACAATAGGGAATCCAAGTTTTACATTGAAATATATAGGAAAAATCTTTAAAAATCTTCTTCTCAAGAACCACTGGGCCAGAAAAGCTGAAACTTATGTGGAATCATCCTGGGGTAGTGTAGATTCTAAATTGTTCAAATCATGACCCCTGGGGGTAGGGCGGGGCCACAATAGGGAATCCAAGTTTTACATTGAAATATGTAGAAAATATCTTTAAAAATCTTCTTCTCAAGAACCACTGGGCCAGAAAAGCTGAAACTTACGTGGAATCATCCTGGGGTAGTGTAGATTCTAAATTGTTCATATCATGACCACGGGGGGTAGGGCCACAAAAGGTATAACAACGTAGGAAATCAGGTGAAGAACAGCAGGGCCAAAGTTACTCAGGTGAGCGTTGTGGCCCATGGGCCTCTTGTTTAAAAAGAAATTAGAATCTTGTTTGTTTGTTTGCTGTTTAATGTCCCTTCGAGAATTTTCACTCATATTGAGACACCACCACTTGCTGAGGGGGGGGGGGGCGCAAATTTAGACCTGCATATACTCTGCACTTATGGCTTTGAGCAGTGAGGGAACTTTTTCATGCCAGCTGAAACCTACTGAAACAGGGGACCTCTGTTTATAAGGTCTCATCCAAAGGACTGGTTTCCAAGTCACAGAGTGGATTCTAACTCATAACATGGGCATCAACTCCTTACTCTGGGACTCTATAGAGCAAACTCTCTAACCACTGTGCCACGTGGCTGACTATGATGATTCCTAAAGAGATGGGAATAAGCTTTTATTCTACAGAAAAACATAATATGAGACATCAGTATTTCCAAATGTTTCCAGTTTTCTTATTTAAAATTTCAAGTTGAACGAGTACAGGGCCCTGCACCAAAAAAGGTCAATTTAGCCCCTGATTAACTTGGATGGTTTAACCTTAAAATTTCACATCAGACTCCTTGTATCATCACTGAGAATCAACTGCTCAGTATGTAAAATATGATGTAAATTTAAGTAAATTTAAATCGCGTAATAATTGTCTCCATAGGATCAGAATATCATCGCTGACTATAATTGATTATGCAGATGCAGGAAATCTATTGTCATTGTTATAGAATGAAATATGGAGATAACGAACAGTATTCAAACACTTCATTAGACTGAATTCATGTACTGTCTTACTTACTTTTCCAAGGTTTCTATAATTGTAAAACAGAACAAGTGCACTTTCAAAATGATATTAAAACTCAATGAGATTTTTAATTTAATTTTTCTATTGAAGGAATTAAAAAACACCATTGAAAGAAATTAGATAATACATCTACATGATAATACATCTACGTGTATTAAAGGACACTGCTTACATATATATATAATTATAAGTCATATTGTGTTCTGATCATTTTTTTTCTGAATAACAATCAATATGGCGCTTCTGGTTCATATGATTATTGTTTATTATTTTCACGTCAATTTAAAAACCCAAGTAAATTTGCAATTCAATAGGAAAACTGAGAAAATATCCTTACAAAGTCTCTAGACAGATTTTGATATACATGGAGTTATATCTAATCATTTCAGTATCTTTCTTGTCTCTTTTATCCTATATCTCTTTAAAAAAAAAGTTAGTACTTGAACAAGCCATGTATTTAAAAATGGTCCATAAAAATGTTAATTGCTTAGATTAATTAAGTTATAATATGGTTTGTATTTCACTGTGTCCTCCATAGCTTTTGAATGATCTATACATGTATATACTTCACTATTTAATATACAATGTATATTTGTATATTAAATGTAAAGGTCATGCATAAATGCAACAAAGGTTTATAAATTAAGTTGTTAATGGCTAAATATATATTTTGCAGAAAAATTAATTCATCCAAGGAAATCATCAAAATTTTATGTCATATCTCAGCATAGATTTTGTCCTTGTGGTTTATAATAGTTATTCTTGAAAAGTCGTGCAATATTAATAGAATTATTTTAAAATAGCCTGTGGTGAAATAAAAATAAAGGCAGAGTTATAAGGGAAGATTTATGTGTATACACATTCTTTGGTTTGAAAGTTCTCATGAAGATTTTTTAATTCAGGTTTAAGCCCTTTTAAGTTGTTAATTTATTTTTTGGGTAATTTAATTGTGATTAAATTTGTAACTGATCTGTTTAGGTCAATCAGATTGATCCAATAATTATAGTGTATAAGTACAAAAGTTACTTTTTTATTAATTGAAGTTAACGAAAAACAAATGAGATTAAATTTTTATACATCTTAAGGCTAGAACGTCTAGGGCGTGCAGTGAAAATTAATGAAGGAATTAGTTCATGTTAAAGACATTTAATGAGATGAAAAAGATTAAACCCAAACTTGGGAGAGTGGCCAATAGATATATACTTTCTCATGGCCTGTTTGAAACACCTTTGTCAGGAGGTTTCTCACAATGGTTAATTAACATAGTTTAATTTCTTCTGCGTCTTTCAGGAAGAAAGTTTTCAGACATGCAAGTGGTATTGTACATGGGAATGATTTGACGATACAAATTCAAGGTTAGTGAATAACTTTTATTAACTTTTATGATTCATAACCATGCAGTGTATAATATTACTTAATTCTGTATTGCTTGCGTGTTGCAAAGGATTTTTTTTCCTATGAGATTAAATTTTGTCATTCGCAAAAATGATACATGAAATGACAGCATATAAATTAAGTCTCTTCTCTGTAAATCAAAATGAGAATGCTGTGACATTTTGTACTAAGTAGATATTCCCTTGCTCTTCCCTGAAGATGAGTTATTTAAGGCTTATTTTATTAATTTTTGATATGAAAATATAAAAACTTCTTATATAATATTTATGATACAATATTCATCGTAAATACCACAGATCTATATAGCGAAGTTAATTATATCTAGATTATAAGTTCTAAACAAAAACGTCATTAACTCTATAAAGATTGTGCAACATATTTTTTTTACTGTGTTTTGACTGAGGTGATGTTTAAATCACTTTTTGCACTAAGCAATGCTAGAATAAGTGAACTGCAGTGTAAATTTAGCATGTTTTTCTAAATATATCATTGAAATCAATGGAATATTAAGATAATGACCAGTAATCAAGCTCAAAAGCCTATTGAAACGATACAAATTTGGAGCAGAGCAAGCATGGACCTCCAAAACATCAGAGGTGGGATCATGTACCATATGGAGTATTAAGTAGATATGTCATTGAATATTACATAATCTGGATTCTGATCTGCAAGACATGATAATTTATATAAAATGAGCATCTATTATGTGTCTGAATTTATCTCCCATGCTAAAGATGCTAGATTATTAGATAGTCCTTTATATTGTGCATCTACTACATGTCTGAATTTATCTTCCATGCTAAGGATGCTAGATTATTAGATGGTCCTTTTTAAGGCACAAGCTGCTGTAGTCGTGATGTACATGTAACAGACTGTCAGCCCATTATCCCCCTTCACTGAATCCCCCATAAATCCCTTCTGCCGTCAACTCAGGAACTCTCCTCTAGATCTAGATGAATGTGCCTTCCTATAATTCTATTCATGTCTTTTGTTGAGATATGAAGGTGAATGAGATGTTATATGGAAGCTATATACATGTCACATGGATGCAGAATCTGTAATCAATCCTGACGACATAAGTATATTGTGTTAGAAAGAAATGTGGACACAAAGCAAGTTGTAGCAGATGGGGGTGTGAATAGGGAAGGTTTAAATAAGCATATGCTAAGCAGTGTTAGAGATACCAGAGAAAAAGAGAGACTGTCGAAATTCATGTATGTATGTAAATAGTTATAATTTTTAACAAATTAATTTGTAAATTACTTAACTGACTAAGTGAGTAAAGAAAAAAAAACTAATAATTTTCTCATCATTTTTATGGGGTTTATAGACATGCAAAATTTGTTTTGCACATAAAACCACCTGCAGAAATTTTTTCCTGCGGTTTCCTCAAGTCTGGGATATAATGTACAAGGTAGTTCAAGCATGGAGTATATAATTATAAGGAAATAAGGAATATAATTTTACGTAATTGCACAAAATACTGTCTTGTACCTGTTAAATAAAAAGAAAAAAGAAAATTGCAGACTTTTATAAGTGAGGGTATATGTTAAATATGAATCATGCATATGTGTCATGGAGAATTCCTACATTGATAAAAAAAATGCATCACTTGTCTATGATTGAAATTTGGTTTAAATTAATGCATAAGAGATCCATTAAAGATTGATGCTGAACTTTTTTGTAATATATGTATTAATATGTTAACCAATGATAAATAAGGTACAGCAAAGTATTTATAAACATATAAAATAAAATTAAAGCGGAGAGAATTCTACACTTTGTTAAATTACCATATGTTCATATTCAATAATAATTTAATTTCTCTCAAAATTTCCTACATGTGGTAAACTGTAAATTTGCTTGAGTTCCATTTTATCTCCATCATTGATAGAGAATTGACACAATGTTAAAGTTACACTGATAAGTCTATCAAGTGAGATGATTGGTCATTTTCCTTTAAAGTGTGTTTCCTTAATGCACAAGCTGTAGGCAACATTGACAAATGTTTTCGACCCCAGAAATTTATAAAACCATTGCTTTACTTGTATGTTTCAACAAAAGTATAGGGGAAGTTCATAAAACTTTTTATCTTCAAAATGGGAAGTGAAAGTAGTATGCATTCACAGTTTTGTGCTCCATAAAAGATTGAAGCCAGATCTAAATTAATGAACACTATAATAGCATTTAACAGAAAAGGAAGAAAATCTGTGTTCAGTTGTAAACACTCAGTAAATGCGGAGTCGATTGTAAATTAATAATTGTGGATCTCAGTGTCTTTCTGTGTCACAATTTCCGTTCCTTTGGTCGGCTTCCTGCTATTTCAGAATAGGATATTCACTTCAGCCCTTGTCGACGATTTCATTTTGTGTCAAGTGGCTTCCTTGCATTAGATATTAACAGGAAAATGCATTTCTTTGTCATCAGTTAAAATCCCTGCATGTGTCCCAGTAATTGCGGCTCTTGAAGACGTGAGCTGTAAGTGACTGCTTGATGTTATGGTAAGTCTTTGTCTGTCTGCTTTGATATGAGATTTCTGTTGACACTTAGGTTGGTATTTTCTATGAGAGTTTTTTTTTTTCTATCAAACATAAGTACCATGGACTATAATAGGAGTTTGTTTGTTTGGCCAGGATATGCAACAAAAAAAAGTAAGCATACTGAATATGTTAGAATATATTAATAATCAAGGCATGTTGAGGGTTCTTAATAAATATCAGAAAGGAGTTACATGTACTTGTCAGGGCTATGTGGAGTTGTTAACTGAAAATCTGTCTTAAAAGTTTTTTTTGGGGGGGGGGGGGGGGGGGGGGGCATGCAAAAGAAAAACTATACATTTTCAAAGGACTTTTCCATATAAATATAGACATAATTTTCCTGCAACATTTTAAGGATGTCATAAAGATATTTTTGTAATTTTTAAAGTCGGTGGATGTTGATACATGCATTCTGTTCACTTATTCATAGCAGTCTATAACGGTTACCAGATTGCAGTAAAGACACAGTCAATTAATGTACAGACCCTGAAACGTGCTACTACCCCAAAAAAGCGTGTGACTTTCGTGCGCTTTTCGTTTCGTGCAAACCGTGTAGCGTTTCGTGTAAACCGTGCAGCGTTTCGTGCAAACCGTGTAGCGTTTCGTGTAAACCGTGCAGCGTTTCGTGTAAGCTCCATAGCGTTTCGTGCAAACCGTGTAGCGAGCGTGCGAGAAGCGTGTGAGAAACGTGCGACTTTCGTGTAAGAACCGTGTGAGAAACGTGCGACTTTCGTGCAAGAATCGTGTGAGAAACGTGTACGATTCATTTGGAAGTCCTTTTATTTTAAATATGGCTATCGATGGATCAACATGTCATTCTGTGTTGTTTGTAACTAATATTATCCGGATATATAATGGTGGCATTTTAAGGGTGAAAAAATTCGGAAACAACAAAATAAAATTACTCGGTAATGTATTACATATTTGTTTGATTTTCTTTCTTTTTTATTTCAATAAAGAAGGACAGAAATGTGTTAAAAGTAATTAATTATATGCACATAAATTTTAAGGTATTTGATTCAATACATTTTTTAAAGGGAGCAATACTGAACATTTTTAAAAAAAAATTCATTTGGAATCCGGTCTTGTCTTTTTCATTCATTTATTTGAATCACTTCACCATTTTACAATTATGGGATATAGAGATTACAAGAACATATCGGTGATCAATACAAAATAAAAGATAGATATTGCAGGAGTGAAAAATAAAATGCAAAATTTAGTGCGTTGCTATAAATGTGAAGTATTGGAATTCTAGGCCGGGAGCACAGTTCATTGATTTTCTTTATAAACGAACATAATTTTCTTATATTACTAGATTGTGATACAAATAATTTTGAAACGATGAGTCATTTATAGTCTTTTTTTATGCATAAAATTGGTTGATTTATAATAGTCATATAAATGAATTATAACTCACATGCATCGGCAAATACAGGGTTAAATATTTCCGGGAAGGGGGGGGGGGGGTGATCAAATGAAAACACAAATTGAGTTTCTGTTTTAAACAAGTGTTTTATTGATTATTTTCTTTTTTTTTTTTTTTTTTAAATATTGTTTCTTTCGGGATGCGCCCGATGCACCCCTTAAAACTATATTGGAATCT